CGGCGGCGCGCAGGCATCAATGGCGCGCGACGGCGCCAGGTCCAGCTGCGCCCGGGAGCGGTGCAGCAGGATCGACGTCGTGTGGTTGAGCATGTGCGCCTGAAACATCATCTCGTCGGTCCGCCCGTCGCGCTGCACCGAGTCCTGCTTGCACGCGGGCAGGTTGTGCCGCCAGCTGGCGAGGAGCACCTCGAGCTGCGCGTGCAGGTCTGCGTCCAACTCGGCCGCGTTCAAGTTGTGCATGACCTGGCCGAGGTTCTGGACGCTGAGAATTCGGTACGCGAAAGAGGAGAACTGGTAGTTGTCCATGGAAAGATCGCGATCTTGTAAATCGTCCATGGTGCGAGGCTCCGGTATTTGCTGTGATTTAGCTATTAGAAATGCGGTTTGCTGTCAACGTTTTTGCTGCCCACGTACATCAGTCTCGTATTCCTCCTCTTCGCAGGGTAGTCCAACATCAGTCAGCACGTCAAAGAGAGAAAAGGTGGTGGCTCGGTGCGCGCCGGCAAACATGCCGTCCAGGACATACAGCTCCCACCACGTCCGTCGCCAACTCTCATCCAACACGCGTGATCGTGTCTCAGACTCTATAATAAACTGGCAAAAGTTCATCCCCAGCGATAGCAGCATGCGTTTCGCTCTGGTGAGCAAGTCCACGGCCTGCTGCGGGTATCCGGCCCCGTCCAGCGCAATCAGCAGCACCACCATGGCCTGCACCGTAAACCCATTCGCGCTCCTCCTTTCCGCCTCATCGACGGCTATTCTCGCCATATCCAGCAGCGGCCGCTGCTCCGTCTCCGGCGCCGTATACTTGGACCCCACCCAGTGCATCACCGCCAGCAGCGGCTGCAGAGCGTCGTCCTTGGCTAGTAGACGCAATCTCGTCTGCGGCAGGACCAGTGGGTGGCTGGGGTGGAAGTTGCGATAGTATGACGACAGGCAGCGCTCAAACGCCGCGGCCGGGTGAGGAGGATGCGACGGAGACCGAGGTCCTGCCGAGGCCGGGCGCGAGGGCGGCTTGTTCCAGGCGATGAGGGAGCGCGAGGGCGGCGGGGGCGGGGTGAGGCTCCGGAAGAGAGACTTTTTGCGGCAGTCAAATGATGGGAACCCGGCCTCGTGATGCGAGCGCTTGGCGCTCCCCGGCGGCGGTGGTGGTGTGTCCGCGCCCGGGGTGGCGATGCACTGGCTGGAGCTGCGCGGCTGGCTTCGCTGGCCGCGCCGCGACGGCACAAAGACGCAGTCGCTGTCCGAGTCGATGCAGCGTTTACATGGCCGCTTCCCGTCGCATTTGAGATGTCGCTGGCGCTGTTATCAGGGTCAGCAAACAAGATTTGGAGCTACCCGGGAAAAGTGCCTTGCGTACGCATACGAGACAGGCGCCTGATGAAGCAGATTCTGTATTCTCTGCCGAGAGCGTGGTGGCGACACATGGGCCGGTAGCGAGCTCTGTAGTCATCATCATCAGAGGTCTTGAGAAATAACCAACAACTATGCGGGAGCTGACTTGTTCGTCCGGTTATGCCGAGGATAGAAACAGCGTGTGGTGGAAGAGTAGTGACGGCATGACTCGAGACCCCGGCGCTCCTACTCTCGGCGTTCTACCGGGGCCGCTTCGCCGATGTGCAAAGCCCGGGGACCCACTCCATTGCCGTCCTCGCCGAGGCACACAATAAGAGGGATTCTAGTCGCAGATATGAATGTCACTGCCGTCTTTCTACCCCGTACGACTTCCAATAAAAAGTGGCACGTTGCCACGACGCCCTCACAGACAGCTTGTTGGCAGGCACGCCCCACTCTGGGTGCTGACCTGACCACGCCACGCTGGCCTCCTCATCATAGATTTCTCTTCCCTCCATCATCACACAATACACCTGTTTCCCTTGCTTTTGCTCGTGCTGACCGGTCGTGATGCCTCACTCCCTCCTTTGATACACTACACAGCTACGAAGGGACTGCTATATCCCCGCCCCCTCCTCTGTCAATACCAGCACTGCTGCTATCAATGGCGCAAACCATAACCCCCTAATCAGCCACGGAAGCAGGCAAAAGGATTCGGAACAACAACACTGGCACGGTTGTTGTCTGGTTGCACCTATAAGGGTGCCCCTTCAGGGGTAGCCCAGCTCATAACAGGTTAGTGTTATTGGAACCAACATGGCACACATAGGATGAGAGATGTTGTTTTATTGTCTTACACATATACTGGGTGACGGGAGATCGTTCCTACGGCTTCCGGGCCGTCTGTCATCAAGTATATAGTACTGTTTATCTAGCTAAATACCTCTTATCTTATTTTTTCCAGAAGCTAGGTATTTAATTACTAAATCTGAATCTTGTCCAGGTTTGGACAAGTCAGCGACAACGTAATCTGTGCTCTGTTGACGTAATTGTTCCACACCCACTTTGGTAGATGCTCAGAGGCTCTAGAACGAAAAAAAGAAGCGTCCCATATTAGTAAAAGAAAAGTCTCACAGAAACATGGCAGCGCGCCCACATACCGTCTGTTTTTGTAGTAAAGGTCAAACTCCGCCCTGGCACGTCTAACCATGGAGGACAAGGCCACTTGGTTGTATTCTTTCCATTCCTTTTGGAGGCTTGGGATCGAGGGTCCGCCACGAGCATTGGCGTACCAGACGTCGAAATGCCCCATCTGCTTCCAAATGCCCTCGTAGGTGCCGCAGAAGGCGTCCCAGACCGTTTGCGAGTTGAGGTAGTTGAAGATGATGCCTATGTGCCGCATAGTTAGCACATCAACTTGCAGTCTACAGACGCACTCAGCATCGTTGGGAGTTTTGAGTTTAGGAAACAACGAATACGCACCAAGGTCCTTGACTGTCTGCAGTTGCTCGTCAGCAGACATTGCAATGTATTTGGTATAATCGACAGTCCGAATCCCGGTAAAAAGCTACACAAACACGTCAGCGCATGCAGCTCTCGGGTCATTGGAATTCGGCGAGGCGAAACTCACGTTGCCCTTCTTCTCATTCGGCCGTGAGAGCATGATCGTAAGCCGGTCAAGATGCGTATCGCTCCCCAGCTCACTAATGAGAGATTCAACAAACGATGCGCGCTGCATAAATTTTGACTTGCGTCCC